ATTGGACAAACAGCACTACAAAGGTTTAATACAGCCTTCATTCGAGATACTGACAAGCTCCATGAATTCAAGATAACTATCAATATTAGGTTCCAAGCTCTACAGGATCTACTGAATGAACAAGAAACTACTTTGGAGGACAACTGGAATAGGGATAACAGAAGCACTGACTTCAACGTGTACGGAGGTTCTCGGTCCTCAGAAGCATCACCACAAGGAATGGATCTCTATGGGAATCCTGGACAAAATACAAGAAAAGGAAGAACAAGAAACTAGCAATTAACAACAGCCGAACACGAGCAGAGAAGGTCAAAGCACAAGCAGACTACGCAGAAGCAAACAGGGAAGTGAGGTAAAGCATGAAAGCCGACAAGCAGAAATACATGGGACAACTAGCAACGACCTGACAACATACCAGCAGAAGCACTGGAGTCATACATTGAAATAACTGCAAACATGCTTCACCTTCTATTCAAGAAGATTAAGGTTTCGCACACGAGACCGACGGTTCTGCTTTCGAATCGTGTGAGCAAGACCGTGGATGCATTCTGCTAAGAATTCCCATACTGAAAGAAAAAGGTGAGATCATTTCATTCAACACTACAGGTAAGCCTTAGTCATCCATGTCATTGATGTATGAATTCTTTGTAGTCAATTTTTCTTCCACTGATTCCAAATCCCACACATATTCAAATACAAAATATGAAGTTTGTTTCCAAATCATAGTTGATTCTCACTTGTACTTAAAAAAGTAAATATGTAATCAACTATAAATAACTAGTGAAAGCAAACAACATTTGGATTCATGGAAACTTCAATTTATGATGTCTGCTTCTAAATAATCTATTCATTGAAGTGTCCCATTTTCAATAGAAATTGGTTACTAACACTTGTCTATCATCCATTCTCATCTCTGCATTTTGATGACATTTCACAAACTAATTCAACAAGTTTTCGAAGGATTCTTTCATAATATTGTACATCTGTATCTGTTTAACTAGACTACTGAATGAATGGTGTGTATCAAACTAAACACATAGCCTGTTAGGTATCCAATTAGTAGAACACTGACTAAATGACCAGAAATAATGATCCATAAACCAGTACGAGTAGTTCAGAGTCAATGATGATTTCTTATTTGTCTAATGAGATAGTAGCCTCTCACCTAACCTTGACGGTTTACTCTGGAACGTCGATGTAAACCTCCACTACAATAATCATTTACTTCAGATATACTTGATTCATATACAAGTAGACTAGACCTCATCACACACCATAAAATACAAGATAACAATGATACAATATCAAGCTAAAAGTGGCTGTGATTGTGAGAGATTGTAACTAACAGATTGAGTACAACCTTAGGATGGTAAATTGTATGATAGTAGTGAATAGATCAAATGGAAGCTTATAAATAAGAGAGATATGAATATACATATAGATTGGTTACTTAATAGTTATCTATTAGGACTATATGTAATAACCGTCTCAACTCTTACCATTCACTTATTATTCGTTCGATGGGTACAATGACAGATAAATGTACTTTCTTTTTAAGATTATTCTAGGTAGTCATATTAAAGTATATTTTCATATTGAAGTGAATCAATGTATATTGAGAATACTTAATTTAAACAAGTATGGGTAATTTGTAGATAACCTGGTAATTGAGAAACCATAATTAATGTGATAGAATTTCTGAACGTAGTTCCTACTAAATTAAACGAACAAATTATCAATACAGGGTTGTAGACGTTAAGGTTTTGCACACGAGACCTACGGTCGTGGTTTCGAATCTCGTGAGCAAGACCGTGGATGCATTCTGCTAAGGAGTCCCATACTAAAACAAAACGGTCGTTCAGTGCTCCAAGGTTTTCAATGGTGCTCTTATATCTGTAATTATTTCGTTTACACGTCAATCAATTGGATGTAAAGCAACTATTAGTATGACAGTAGGTAGTGTTGAAACCCAATCACACTTGATGGCGAATTTCTGGAAGAGGTGAAAACATTCACTTACCTGGAAAGCATCGTTAATATAAAAATAGGATTGGATACAGATGTAAAAACGAGGATTGGCAAATCAAGAGCAGCATTTCTACAATTAAAAAACTTATGGAACTAAAAACAACTGTCAACTAACTTCAAAGTCACGATCTTCAGTACGAAGGTCAAGACAGTAATACTGCAAAGAACTGAAACGTGGAGAAATACTACAACCATCATCAGGAAGGAACAAATATTTGACAACATTTGTCTACCCAAAATACTCAACATACATTGGCCGGATACTATCAGCAACAGCGTTTTATTGGAGAGGGAAAACCAGCCTCTGGGTGAAGAGGAAATTGGGAAAAGACGTTGGAAGTGGATCTGACAAACGTCACGCAAATCATCAAACTGCATCACGAGTCAACTTGGAATCTGGAGTGAAAGCGGAAAAGAGGAAGTCGAAACAACACATTATGCAGGGAAATAGAAGTAGATAAGAAAAGGACGAATAAAAACTGGAAAGAAGTCTCCAACTGCGAGTATCTGCTGTATTTTTGAAGAATGCGTAAGAACCACCATTGACGTTCATCAACTATACAACACCCCAAAACATTTGACGTATGGCATTAGAATTGGGTAGGTGTGTTGTCAACTGGTTCTACAATGGATAAAGTTTGATCGTTAATCTGCTGGTCAAAGGGAGAGAGATCTAACACGCATGACCTCTCCTTTCAGGCAATCGTATGGCCAGTCACGATCCGGTTTAAAAATGACGTCAAGCACTTGCTCAATAACGTCATACGTCACCAACCAATTCGCCTTACTAAATTTCGTGTTCTGAATTGTGATTCTGTTTGTAACAAAGAAGCTTTCTAAGAGTGGAAACCAGAGTTCTACCTTTCGACGGTTAAAAACAGGTAAAGGTACAGAGAAGGCACCCATGCAAGTAGACTTACATGAAAGGCTTGGTGAATTATCGACTGAATTCTTACAAAGAAATAATAACAGTAACAATAATAATAAACTGTGCATTGACATATACAATATGAATAAATAACCAATAACAACAACAGGAACTATATATAAGAGACATCGAATAATATAAACAACTCTCATTTTGTGTACAAATATGCAAGTAGACTGATGTAAATCCAAAGGAACAATGTTATTAATGAATAAATATTATGACTGTCAATGAATTGTTAATCATTGCAACCGTAATATCCCAATGTGATTGGAGAATATGCAACAGACATGTAGAGTGATGATGCACGTTCCAACGGCGGTTTGTCAACTTCGTAAACAATGAATTGTTGTATATATGATTTCCGTTAACTGAACGTTCAATGCAGGCTAAATCTCTTAATAGAATGATGATTTAACTCAAGATTATTTCAAATGCCTGAACATCAGTTATGGAGATAGTTTATTGTTGAAGTTTGGTAATAATCCGCAAGTGTACTGATAGGATGCACACAGGAAAAACAAGCGAGTGACTGTGTGTGTGTGTTTGTGTTGATGAGAATTCAAAAATCCTTATGTAATAATGAGTGTAAATGAATTTTGGATAAATTATTGATTGTTTTTGTCTACAACCAATGAGAGAACAGGATGGAGATCGATGTAACAACACACTGCGGTCAATCACACTCACACATCATTTTACATAGTGGATGAAAATGTCTAAATTACTGAGTACGCATATATAATACAATAATTGAATGGGATTGTTACATCCTATCTGGTATTTGTCAGCTGAATGTTGCTGTGTCACAGAGTTGATGTTCACTATGGGACTCGAAACAAGTACCATTCGCTTGAAACGCTATCGCGTTATTCACTTAGCAATATCGGGCAGTAAGAGACTGATCATTTGCTACAAATCTTCTAGAAGATAATTGTAGTTCTTCTTCATGTTTTAGCTTCCTACGGTAGAACTGTCTTGAGAGTCGTATTAAAGATTCTGCTTATAATATACTCAAGACAAATCTCAGAGTAATAAAAAACAAGGACCGCATTCCTACAATTGAAGAACATATAAAACTCAAAAAAATTATCAATCAATATCAAAGTTACAATCGTCAACATGAACATGAAGACAGTTAGTTCTATTGTATGGAGATGAAACGTGGAGAACTAAAACATCCATCCTCAAGATAGGAAGGATTTTCGAGTGCAGAGTTGGATGGAGAATGTTGGTGTGCAGCCTATTCTCCTCCACGAGCGGTAACAGGATTAACTAAGTATATATGGTTATTTAGCACAACTGTATTAAATAGACGAAGAAACTATTTTGTAGTGGACTGATTATCATTCTCACAGTGTCTATGCAGTTATTCCTAATTGAAGAGAACTATGATTTGAGTGGTGAACCTAATATACATTATTGTGGTGTGTACTACTTATGTTGACATAAGTAATATACAACAATAGTCAAGAATAGAATGTCTATTAGTACAAGATCGAGAAGATTGAGGAATAGAGAAGCGGAACCAAAAGGAAGGACGGTGAAGTTTGAGGCAATTGATAGATATTTTGTAAATGAAGTATTTACTGTGTGGTTCTCAGATTTTGCTAAGACGGTCTGCAATCTTATGTTCATATACAGTCGATTGTCCACACTTGTGTTCAACTTCATTACAATATATCTGGTGTGGTCTAGTTATGAATTAGATGAACTGAGTAACAGTTATGTGTCTTATGAAATGGAATCAACAAACTTCGTATCTAATCACAAAACTGTTCAAATGAAATACAACACACACTGATGTTGATGAAAAGGGACAAGTAATAGAGTGATTGAGAAGGGGAATTCATAATTATTATGATCTTATATATAGTAGACCAATAGCTATTGTTTGTATCACATTTTGATCGTGATTGTTATCATGAGTTTGTTATCATTTATTGTTACCATTAAATGAACCTTGATCTGATATAAGAGTATGAACTATGTTAATGAATTTAAACGTCAGTTTTTTTATTTGTAAACATTTGGTCAAACTTCAATACATATTAGACGTAAACAAAGTATTCATTACAACTCCATATAAGGAATGTGTCTGTATTGGATCTGACTAGGAAGTGAGATCAGTTCATTCAACACTACAGGTAAGCCACAGTCATCCGTATGAATAATGTATAAATTCCTTGTTGTCGATGAATGGCATAGAATCGAAAAGACAATGAATCCCGAGACGGATGATTGACATTTTGTAGAATGAACAGTCAAGTAATTGACGATTGATTGACATTTTGTAAATGAAGTATAAACTGTACTGTTCTCACATTTTACTAAGAGATTCTGTAGCTTCGTGTTCACATACGCTGGATTGTCCCCATTCCTGTTCTCCTTCACCACAGTAATACCCGGATTTATTCACTCTGAGGAAGAAGCTTACATAAAGTCACGAAATATCAGAAGTATAATTTCTCTATTCAGTGGGATATAACAAAAAAATATGTTTCTTGTTAACTCTCTACTCAATGCTGAATTTATTACAAACTGTCAAGTCAAAACTTAGCGTTTTACATCTGTAATTGGATGTAAACCAACTATTAATATGACACTAGATAGTGTTCAATCGATCAAGAACACCAGTGAGGACAACCAAATCATATAACCACAACGTGAATACTTCATTCGCAAAATACCAATCAATCGTCTCACACTTTATTGTTCATTCTCTGTTCTCGTTCTCTTCTCCTCGATTCGCTTGACCTTCTGCCTCCAGCTATTTCACTTTCGAATGAAAATGTATACTACTGATATCAACAGATATCAGTAGCACACACCACTCCTCTGTAAAGCATTTGGTTAAACTCATCTGTGTTCTCGTTCTCTACAGAATGTTCATCAATGAATAGTTGAATTTAGCTGTTTAATTTACTGTTTATTGTAGACACATTTTGGAAGTAATGGTACCTATTGTTGAAAATATTCAATGTGAAGGAATGGAAGTGATGAATGTGATGAAACATTTTGATCGATTACGTGCTGTATCAACATATACCAAAACAGTAAATTGTACTTTATCATTGAAAGCTATTCACAATTATAGGTGCTTATACTTGTTGTAATACAAATACTGATAACACTTGTAGTCATAATGCTCTCATCAATACCGTAAATTGTTGAGTCAATAACGATATTTGTCTTTATGTAGTGGGAAAGATTTTCGAGACAAAAGCCAACTGATATCGTCCATTATAGCTGGTTTATTTCTGTATGTAATGCCATTTATTTAAAAATTATTTATTAACAGTATAAAAATGTAACTGAAATATATGTCGGTGATTGAATATGTTGATTAGATAATTGTGTAACATTCATCCTTTTCACATCTGCTTCTATTTTTTGGAGCAATATGTTTATTGGCCTTACTCTTTTCTGCTTCCCCTCACCATTCGCAGTTACGGATTGCCTCGTGATGCAGTTGATGATTTCCCTAATGTATGTCCACTCCACTTCCAACGTCTTCTCTTAAGATCCTCTTCAACTAGAAGCTGGTTCGTGCTCTCCCATAAAACGCTGTTGCTGATAGTATCTGGTCAGTGAATGTTGATTATTTCGGGAAGACAAATTTTTATAAATACTTTTATTTTCCTTACGATGGATGAAGTAGTTCTCCACGTTTCAGCTCCGTACAGTAGGACTGTATTGACGTTTATATTGAAGATCGTGATTTGGATATTGATATACAGACTGATTGAAAATAGGATGATACAAACAGAAACAAAATGTTAAGTTCTATTTATCAATATTCAGTTAGACGGAAACGATAGTTGAATTCTTCATTCCAATATGTTTCATTAATTTTGGTCAATTAGTTATTAAAAGTAGTCTGGAGAGACTTCATTGTTTTCAAGCTTTTCGACGAATCTGATTTGTACTGTTGCTTCTAGATAATGTGAAGTGACATTTTGGTTATACTTAATGACGTCTATTCATTAGTTTGAAGTATTCTGATTTCGGTCATCAAACACATAGTTGATTTGAGATTTCACGTTGAACTGTCAGTTTGAATTTGAATATTTAGTCGCATTATGCCACAAACCAACCACTTTTCAAGCAGTGGAATCTAGGACGCGCGTTTCGTCCTATTTGCAACTCGTCAGCTGGATGTACTAACATATCAGATTTGATGTTCACTGTAGGATGCAAAACCGCTACCGTTCAAATCAAACGCCATCGTAATATCCACTTGCATACTGAGTCATGATAGTCACTTGCTTTTGCAATGAGGTGAAGTTTAAATTTACTTGATATTGTTTTGTACCATTGCAATTCATCAGTCTCTTGTTGGCTTATGCGCATACTGTGCATTGCTGATAATTACTGGATAATTGTATTGCTTCGCACAAAAGAATTATGCAAATACGTTTGATACTACAAACTATGTATTCATTCAATTGAAAGATTCAAGAAAGCATTACCGAATGAATTCAATCGATCTTATGTTTCTGTTATCCAGATGAGTATTCGTCTGACAAATATAAATTATTAGTATTTTATAACGACAAATTTTAAGATCAGATCAATTGATGATCTACTTCAATATCATTCTGGATTTTGGTGATACCAACCAACACCACCACTACACATCCATAGTTCACCATTCAACATCAGAGAACGTTCGACTTTCACACGCTTTTATCATTCTGTCTTCCATTTCACTAGCACCACATCCTAACCAAACTTATTTCGTCATTTGAATTGGTGACATTACATTAGATGTAAGTAATATTTAGGCAAAGTAATTAACAGACCAAACAACATTACAGCAGAAGCACTGAAAGCAGACGTAGAAGTAACTACAAACTTATTCGACATTCTTTCCAGCAAGATTCGCGATGAAGAACAGGTACTAACAGACTGTAAAGAAAGTCGTCTGATCAAGATGCCAAAGAAAGGCGATTTCAGTAAGTGTGATAACTACAGGGGCATCAGTCTTCTTTCAATATCAGGAAAAGTCTTCAACACGGTGTTGTTAAACAGAATAAAGGACTCCGTAGACGCCCAACATAGAGACCGACAGCTTGGATTCTGTAAGAATCGACAATGTATAGACCAAATCACAATTATACAGATCATTTTGGAACAAACAAGTGAATGAAATTCATCACTCTACATCAACTTCATTGACTACGAGAAGGCATTTGATGGAGAGGACGGTAGAAAACTATAGAGGCTTCTTCGACACTACGGTGTTTCCGAGAAGATGGTCAATATCACACGGAATTCCTATGGTGGATTAAGCTGCAAAATCGTGCATGGATAACAGCTTACTGACTCGCTCGAGGTTAAGACTAGTGTCAGGCAAGGTTGCTTTCTCTAACCCTTTCTCTTTCTTCTGTTGATCGACTGGATTATGAAGACGTCAACATCTGGAGGAAAGCCTTTTTTTAGCAAGGCTGTTTTCTACGGGACGAAATTGCTGATCCTACTCTCAAATCTCTAATTTTGACCAGATTTGAGACCGATAGAGGACCTAGATAAGCTACAGCTCGAGTTAAACATGTTATGTTCAACAGTTGTTTCTATTTTATTTTGTAGTTTGATTGCATTGGTCATAGCACTATTGATTGTTCTCGTGAAGAAGATCAGTGAGAAATATCCACTGAATGTCGTGTTTGTAATTATTTATGTAAGAATTTCTAATGATCATTTCACATACATTTGCCTATTTTCTTTCTAAATATCTAATTTAATAAAACGTACTGCTTAAAGATTGTAATGCAAATTGACTGATTGTTATGTCAAAGAAGAGTTTTGCGAAATTGGAATCCTGAATAGTTTACAGATTGATTTCAATCTTCGATTTATCGAGATAGATAACTTAGAAGTTTCACTCATAGTCATAGTGTGGTGAACAGAACACGAGTGGAGACAATTGAATGTATTGCAACACAAAATACAAATGATCTCACTGAAACACTGAAATCACATCAATTTTTCAATATCAAAAGGGTTCAAACTGGTACTATTTATATCAGTTTCCAAAATTTTACACACAATTTCCACCATGATTTCGAAGAAAACATTCTCCGTAGATCAGTAAACTAGTTGTGTCAACTTCAAAATAGTCATCTTCAGCGGAAGAATTCATAACTTATCAGCTTTAATATATAATATAATCATATATGAATGAATATATATTCTGTTAAAATTGTAACATTTTTTCAGTCTATTTCCATGGCAATGGCAATGGCAATTTGGAATTTACAGTTAGATGTTCTTTACAAACTTGCAATCTTTGGAATCAGTTTAGTGCTGTTCACATCTGCATTACTGATTGGTGCAGCGATTAAAGGAAATTTGGTCGATCACTCAATGATTATTATAATATCCCTTTTGTCTACATCTATTGTAATTTTGGTAGTTGGGGCTGTGCTCAGTGTTTTTCATAACAAGGTATCCTACAATGCTAAATTATTTGATTCATAAATTACGTAATCATGATTGAATCTCATTCAAAACCCATAACTGTAAATTGTAATCTAGTTGAAATCCAAAGATTCCGAACATTTGAGTTCTGGGTAAAATCAATGGAAAATCGATTTAGTGTGTTCACTCACGTAGCACAAGTAGATATTACATCCACTCTGTAGAAAGTTTTATGATCATCTCTGTTGTATAACACTGAACCAAAACGGCCTACGTGAGCACACAGTCTAGTTTCGATGCTAAAAGGAATAAATAAGTTTCCTGTCACGTCCTTGATCTGTCTTTCCACTTTCGCACCGAGAATAGCTTGTCTTATGTAGATTAGGACCTTGACGTGATATGCTAGCTGACCAAAGATTGAGGCTAGTATCCGCATGTTCAAAGTGAGGCAGAAAGTTTGCGGTATAACATTGAAGGCAAAGGTCCCACATGAAAACATAATCCACTTCACATTATGAAATGAATGGAAAAGCTTTTAAAGAAACGTGATCATATTTTTGTTATCGTTCAGAAGTAAACACTGACTGAATTCTATATAGTCATATTTGAGCATTGTTCAATGTAAATTCACTAACACATTTTCTTCTTTTCAGAAGTCAACGCTCGGCGTTTACATAGGTGTACAAATCCTGTTCTTCATTGTAAGTTACATTTATGTACATTTTCATTCATAGAATGATCACTGTGAGGTAGAAGTAAACTGTTTTCCTTCATTGAGTACACCTTTGCCTTCTTGAAGTCTCTACTGAAAATGACTTACATCTTGTATGGCTGCATATTAGTAGACTTCGATATTCTGAATGATAAGTGATGAAAGGAATTATAATGACCATATACTACACTACTGTACTTTGTGTCTCTGTCCACTGATAATGTAGTTTCTGAACACTTTACTAAGGAGTAATCGAACAATGTAATCAAATGTTTTGGCACTTATACGTAGATGACTTCAACACTAATTGATGTCAAATATTCCGATCAATGTGAAAATTAAATAACTATGTTCATCGATAGTACATCCAGGTTACCAATGACGGTCTAACACCAATCATATCATGATCTCAATGGAAATGTATAACGCAAATACATCACATTCTTCAGATCAACTCAGTATTCCATTCTACATGAAAAAAGATGTGTTTGTTTTCCCATTGGAAATCTTAAGAAACAAAACACTTTATATTTAAACAAGTCACTTGATTTGTGTGTGGGCTGTGATAATACTTGCATGCCCAAACAGAAGCAGATAATTTTCTTAAGGGGCCACACTCCGAGCTTTCTACGTAAAAGTCTGATTCTCAGAGCAGTGGAGAAACGTTTGGAGATGCACTTCCATGGTGGGCAGTGACTCTCAATTGCTTCACACACCATTTGTTCTCTGAGGATCATGGAGCAAATGTGCAACGTTTATTTGGAATCAGGGATTCCCAATCCCCTTAGGTCTACCTTAACAAGCTAAATCACCAGACGGACATTCAAGTTTCATCCTCACAATTTCGTAAACAACACTCACGCCTCTAGAAGGAAGTGAGTAGGAGTTTCTTTGACAGTGGTTCCATACGCGTGGCCACATAACAGCATTTCGAGAGAGAGAGAGAGAGTGAACAGACTCACCTCACTTTACACCGCATCAGGAAACTCCGGGGTGCAATAATTATTATTGTTATGTTTTCAAACAATCAAAGTCTAAACTGATGTACGTTTTATTTACTTTACAGATAACAATATTTATAAGTCATTTTACTGTTGGCAAGTCAAGATATATTTTTTTGTATCCAAATTATTCTTTGGCAGCTATATTATTGTATACTATATTCTTTTCAACTTTATCAGTCAATACTGATATATGGAACGTCTACAACATAACTGAAAGTTATATTATTCAGTTCAAATTAACAGAAAATGTGATCAATATTTAATGGAAATCAGAAAAATCTGTTTTTTGTATTTTGTTGTTGTTGTTGTTGCTACGTTGAAGTTGAACTCTGAATAATTAACCGATGTGTATTTTTGTTTTGTTGATTTATTATCGAATCAATCAAGAAGGGGTATTTTTGTGTAAATTGATTGTGTGTGTGTGTGTTTTATTCGAATGCATTTCAATGTAACGTACATTTGAAGTTGATAGTTGAACCTGAATTGTTAATACAATTTGTCATTCAGTGTTTCGAGTGTTCATTGCCTTTAGCATAAGTATTTCAATGTAATATCGATTTAGATAGCTGTATATGTATAGAACGTCTGTACGATATATTAAGAGGTGGAAACATTTACGTATCTAGGTAGCATAATCGATGAACAAGGAGGATAAGATCCAGATGTAAAGGCAAGGATTGGCAAAGCATTAACAGCATTCCAACAATAAAAGAACATATGGAACTCAAAACCATTGTTCGTCAACCATAAGCAATCAATAGTCTCAACACAGATATAATGAAGCTATAAATGAGAAGAAAATAATAAACATATTAGATAATTCACTCATTATTATACAACTACACCTAATGAGATTTGTTTATGTTGAGGCTTATTGATGCACAGGTTGCTGCTACATTTGCTGTCTTCATCTGCAATTGTACGTGTGTTTCAGATACGAGGGCTAGATGATCTGCGAAGTTCAAATCATCTAACTGATTCGAAGATTTCTATTGTCATGGGTAAAATCAATCGAATATGGTTGTCATCCAGAAGTACACACTGACTAAATTCTATATATAACTAACTCTTGTCTAGACTCCTGTGCACCAATTAAGACTTACAGGATTAGTAAACATCACGAATTATATATATCAGCTAAATATCGTAATAAACTAAGACGCCTAAAGAAACGTTATTTTAAATCTAACGACTTCACGGCAGTCACACAAATAACAATATTTTTTAACCGAATAAGAAAAATCATAAGTTAAAAGCCATCAATGAAGAGCTATTAGCACTACGTACTAGCTCAAAAGTGCAAAACCTAATCCACCTTCACAATAAACGTGCTAAATCAACTCAAAATGTTGATATACCATGCACCCTGCATAATAATAGTTTTATATATGACCCAAAAACTATAGCAGACCTTTTCAGTGGTAATTTTGCAAATGGCAAAGAATCCATAAATGGCTCTGTTTCTAGAGTTATATGCTTGACTGGTAACTCAATAACATCTATCTCCTTCACATGTCTGAAAATTAGTAAGGTTATAAATAAGCTCAAGGTTTCGAAAGGTCACGGTGCAGACGGGATTTCATCATTTCTCTACAAATATGGTGGTCCAGATATCCAACTTCTTCTCCTTAAACTGTTTACCCTCTCTATGGAATCAGGCTCTTATCCTGACCGTTGGAAAACAGCGTACATCATACCGCGTTACAAATCTGGAGATAAGACTGACATGAACAACTATCGGCCAATAAATATTACTCCAGTTATCTCTAGGATTGTGGAAAAAATTATTAGTGACAAACTATCCAACTATTTATTGACTGAACAATTTATTGATGATTCGCAACATGGATTTCTTAAAAATCGATCCTGTATGACAAGTCATTTTGACTTCTTTAATTTAGTCTATTCGCTTCGCACCCAAGGATATCTAGTATTAGCGCTATACCTGGACATTTCTAAGGCCTTCGACATGGTCAACCACCAACTTCTCATAGGTAAACTCGCATCTTATGGGGTCGAAAACCCGTTACTAGCCTGGTTTGATTCCTTCCACAGCAATCGACATCAAATAGTTAAAATCAACTCTTCATTGTCGAACGCAGTCCCTGTTAGAAGTGGGGTAATTCAGGGTAGTGTCTTAGGTCCTTTGCTCTTTTTAGATTTCATTAATGATATTTCTGAGTGTTTTAGTGTGGTTAAGTCCCTTTTGTTTGCAGACGATCTTAAGGTGGTGTACTCGTTTTCCCCACATGAGCTGAGAAATATTCAAAATTGTATCAGCACGGAGCTTAACAAGGTAGCACAGTGGTGCTCGAAATGGCAACTGAAGCTCAATACAGCTAAATGTGGTTGGCTATGCTTCGGTGATACATCACTCAACCTTAATCTTACCATAAATGGAGAAATGTTATCTAGGTTACACACAGTAGTAGATCTAGGACTTAGGTACTCTGACGACTTGTCGTTTACTGTTATACATAATGAAACAAACGTCCAAGTCTCAACGACTTATAGGTTACATAACTTAAAACCTTCATAACAGCGAATCTCGTATTCTATTGTACAAGGTCTGTGTTCGACCACTCCTCGAATACTGCGCGTTTCAATTTAGTAGCACGCGCATAAAGGATAAATTAAGACTGGAATCAGTACAGAGACGATTTACATTTCGTACTCTTGAACCTGATAGTGCCTTGACATAAAATTCGAGGTGTAGTTAATTACGTCTTGTTTTGTTGTTCCGTGCTCTTTGCTTTAATCTCACTTTCTCTAGTTGTAGATAAATAATAATAACTCGCTCTGGCACTGGTAATAACCTTACAGAACAATGTTGATCAATTATCAGGCTATCCACTTAATAAAAAAATGACAAGTTCCCTGGTGTTCCATCGGCTTGCCGTGACATATGCCATATTTAAATTATTTATCAATTACTAAACTAGCAAACATAAAGCTTTCTCATATTTCATGTTTGTTCTCTAAAATAAATGGTGATTTTCATAACAATCTGATCATGCCAGTAAATTGGTGTGAATTATGTAAATATTATTTTAAGAATATATATTATTATTATATATATACATATGTATATATCCTACAAAGCTAAATTATTTGATTCATAAATTACGTAATCATGATTGAATCTCATTCAAAACCCATAACTGTAAATTGTAATCTAGTTGAAATCCAAAGATTCCGAACATTTGAGTTCTGGGTAAAATCAATGGAAAATCGATTTAGTGTGTTCACTCACGTAGCACAAGTAGATATTACATCCACTCTGTAGAAAGTTTTATGATCATCTCTGTTGTATAACACTGAACCAAAACGGCCTACGTGAACACACAGTCTAGATTCGATGCTTAAAGGAATAAATAAGTTTCCTGTCACGTCCTTGAGCTGTCTATCCACTTTCGCACCGAGAATAACTTGTCTTATGTAGATTAGGACCTTGACGTGATAGACTAACTGGCTTACCATTGAGGCTACTATGTGTGAGTTCAAAGTGGGGCAGAAAGACTCTGATATAACATTTAAGTCTAAGTTCATACATGAGAACATAATCCACTTTACATAATGAAATGAATAGATAAGCTTTTGAAGAAACGTGGTCATATTTCTGTTGTCATCCAGAAGTACACACTGACTAAATTCTATATATAAATATATATATGTATATATCCAAGTAAGCTAAATTATTTGATTCATAAATTACGTAATCATGATTGAATCTCATTCAAAACCCATAACTGTAAATTGTAATCTAGTTGGAATCCAAAGATTCCGAACATTTGAGTTCTGGGTAAAATCAATGGAAAATCGATTTAGTGTGTTCACTCACGTAGCACAAGTAGATATTACATCCACTCTGTAGAAAGTTTTATGATCATCTCTGTTGTATAACACTGAACCAAAACGGCCTACGTGAACACACAGTCTAGATTCGATGCTTAAAGGAATAAATAAGTTTCCTGTCACGTCCTTGATCTGTCTATCCACTTTCGCACCGAGAATAACTTGTCTTATGTAGATTAGGACGTTGACGTGATAGACTAACTGGCTTACCATTGAGGCTACTATGTGTGAGTTCAAAGTGGGGCAGAAAGACTCTGATATAACATTTAAGCCTGAGTTCATACATGAGAACATAATCCACTTTACATAATGAAATGAATAGATAAGCTTTTGAAGAAACGTGGTCATATTTCTGTTGTCATCCAGAAGTACACACTGACTAAATTCTATATATAAATATATATATGTATATATCCAAGTAAGCTAAATTATTTGATTCATAAATTACGTAATCATGATTGAATCTCATTCAAAACCCATAACTGTAAATTGTAATCTAGTTGGAATCCAAAGATTCCGAACATTTGAGTTCTGGGTAAAATCAATGGAAAATCGATTTAGTGTTTTCACTCACGTAGCACAAGTAGATATTACATCCACTCTGTAGAAAGTTTTATGATCATCTCTGTTGTATAACACTGAACCAAAACGGCCTACGTGAACACACAGTCTAGATTCGATGCTTAAAGGAATAAATAAGTTTCCTGTCACGTCCTTGATCTGTCTATCCACTTTCGCACCGAGAATAACTTGTCTTATGTAGATTAGGACCGTTGACGTGATAGACTAACTGGCTTACCATTGAGGCTACTATGTGTGAGTTCAAAGTGGGGCAGAAAGACTCTGATATAACATTTAAGCCTGAGTTCATACATGAGAACATAATCCACTTTACATAATGAAATGAATAGATAAGCTTTTGAAGAAACGTGGTCATATTTCTGTTGTCATCCAGAAGTACACACTGACTAAATTCTATATATAAATATATATATGTATATATCCAAGTAAGCTAAATTATTTGATTCATAAATTACGTAATCATGATTGAATCTCATTCAAAACCCATAACTGTAAATTGTAATCTAGTTGGAATCCAAAGATTCCGAACATTTGAGTTCTGGGTAAAATCAATGGAAAATCGATTTAGTGTGTTCACTCACGTAGCACAAGTAGATATTACATCCACTCTGTAGAAAGTTTTATGATCATCTCTGTTGTATAACACTGAACCAAAACGGCCTACGTGAACACACAGTCTAGATTCGATGCTTAAAGGAATAAATAAGTTTCCTGTCACGTCCTTGATCTGTCTATCCACTTTCGCACCGAGAATAACTTGTCTTATGTAGATTAGGACCTTGACGTGATAGACTAACTGGCTTACCATTGAGGCTACTATGTGTGAGTTCAAAGTGGGGCAGAAAGACTCTGATATAACATTTAAGCCTAAGTTCATACATGAGAACATAATCCACTTTACATAATGAAATGAATAGATAAGCTTTTGAAGAAACGTGGTCATATTTCTGTTGTCATCCAGAAGTACACACTGACTAAATTCTATATATAAATATATATATGTATATATCCAACTAAGCTAAATTATTTGATTCATAAATTACGTAATCATGATTGAATCTCATTCAAAA